CACTCCCTAGGAGGAGGCACTCACACCCACATCTGTCTGTACAGCCCATCTGTCCCTAAAAGGATGAGTAACAAAAGGTGACTGAGTTTACTGAGCATTTTCTCATATGCTCCTCACTCCAGCTTCACAACAACTGGCCAGACACCCCATGAGAAGAGGTCACGGCTGAGACCTGACCCCAGTTGTTCTGACTCTGAGTTCTGGTCTTTGTCAGTCTCTTGCCGCTACCCAGGTGTGGATCCATCTGTGCTGCTCCAGCCAAAGGACCAGGATTATATCCAGGCTCACATGTGTGACAAAAAACACCTGGATACCTAGCTCCCCGCAGAGCAGGTCATCCTGAAGGGCCAGTGATGGGGGAGACCAATTGTAAGGAGAAGATACCACAGATCTGCTCACTCCTGCCTGCCCTTTCCAGCCCAGGTTGAACAATTTTCCCAATGTCGGCCAACTGGAAGTGCACCCTGGAGGCCTGGCCAATGTTTCTTTGGGGGCCAAGTCACTCTTGGGCACCCAGAGGGAAAATGACTCCTCCCAGCCTGCAAGTGTCCAGGAGGGGTAAAGTCTATACCACATGGAAATGCAGATGCCTGGCGGTATTAGCTACAGAGTGTGTGTGTGTGTGTGTGTGTGTGTGTGTGTGTGTGTAGGACACGAGGCAGCTCTGTCTCACTGGGGGGATTCCATGGCTCAAGTTCAGAAAGGATCCAGCAAGAGAGAAAAGTCAAAGCAACTCATAGGGGCTCTAACAGTACAGTGATACTAAAGAAGATGCTGAGCAGACTGCCCCCTAAATCATAAAGCCACGGTTGCCTCTGGGATCCCCCAGTGAAGATGAGGTCGCAGTTCTAAAGCCACAGGGCAGCCTCACAATTCCCTTTCCCATGAGGGTCCAAACCAATGGAGGAGCCACGATCTTGAACACCAGCTTATCAAATCGTCCGAGTAGCTGCTTAGGGAGTGGTTTTGGGGTGAGGACAGGCTTAGCGAGGCGAAAGAAATGGCCACTGCCTGCGGGGTAAGGGCCAGGGCACCTACCTGGACTTCACGTGTGTGATAGGCGATGATCAGACCCAAGAGGATGATGGTGGACAGACTGATAAGGCATTTCAGGGCCAACGAAAACATGGAATCCTGCAGGAGAAATGGAGAGAGAATTATGGAGGGCCAGGAATGGGGCGTCTCATTTTACTCTGAGGCCACATAAAAGTGGAGGCCTGGGGGCAAAGGAGGGACTGTCACCAGAAAGTGCCTTACGCTGGGCCCCGGGCCGGCTCCATCTCCGCAGCTGCTCCCCACCCCAGGCTCTGTTCTCTAGGTTTAAATCATTTTTGCATCCCTGGGATGAACTCTACTTGGGTGTGATGTATTACATTTGTTATATGTGGCTAGATTCAGTTTGCTGATGTGTTGTTCAGAATTTTTGCCTCCATGCTCATAAGTCATCTGAACATAATTTTTTTTGGTGCTGCTATGATATGATTTGAGCATCAGTACTGTGCCAGCCAAGGCCTCTCCTTTCTCTTAACAAACCTGAACCAGAGGATTCCTGAGGTCCTTCTATCTTTGACCATGCAGAATTTTTTCAGGAATGAATTAGAATGTCCTGGCAGCTGCTCTCATCTCCTGTTTTAGGTCAAGGGCAGGGAGGGAGACAAGGATGGCAGAGGAGCTACTGAAGAGAGAAGGGGGATGAGCACAGGTGCAAAGAGGGGTCCTGGGCAGGAGAAGTGTCCTGAAGGTCCCTCCTGTGGAGGATGGGGGATGCAGGTGAGCTACTGGGCCTTCACTGCAGCCTTCCAGCCCCAGGGCAGCTTAGAGGACCCACGTGGTTGGGAGCACAGCTCTGGGGCCAGCCCACTGGGTCCAAACCCTGGCACAGCCACTAGCTATGTGACCTCAGGCTATTCAGTCCTCTGTGCTCGGCTGCCTCATATGCCACATGGGGATAACCTACTTCATGGCTGCTATGAAAAAGAAAGGAAATTTGTGTATGCAAAGTGCCGGGACCAGTGCCTGGCCACGTAAAGGTTACCTACTCCTGCCATTTACTTTGCTGCCTCTACAAATTCAGGACGACTTTGTGCCTCCCTGGCATCTGAAAACCAAGGAGTAGAGATGGCTTCCAATCCCAGAGGAAGGCAGGAACCTAGCCCTGAGTTAAGGTAGCAGATGAGAGGCAGGTGGCCTGGGTGTCGTGAGAGATGGACGCCACGCAGGAAACAGCCCCTGCGCTCCCAGAGCTGGGATCATGGCAGCGCCATATTTCTGTAAAGCACCTTGCAGTTTACAAGGTGCTTTCACATACTAATTCTCATTCATCCTCACAACAGCCCTTGGCCTCTATCCCAACTTTATAGATATCAAGGCAAAGGCTCAGAGATGTAAGTGGCTCATGTCAGAGTTCAAAGCCACAGCCTCTGGCTGCCAGGTCAGAGCACTTCCACAAGCCCTCAGGCCCACTCTCCAAAGGGAAACAGAGTAGAAACGTGCTCTGAGAAGTGTCCATGTAAACAGACCCAAATGACAGCTTACGACAATAATGTAAGGCATTTCAAAGGTAGGATATCATTAAAGGCCTGATGTAACCTACAGTAAAGCTGGGGTGAGGTGGGGGGAAATCAAGAGAGGGAGACCTCACTGTCAAGAAAGCCTTCAGAGACCGAGTGACAGGTGGCTGGGATCTGCAGGGTTGGGTAGTGTTGTCCAATTTGGCAACCACTAGAGTCATGCCCAAATCCATGCTCCCACCACCCTCTGCAGGCTGATGGAATGAAAGCAGCCATCTGTGCTGTCCGTCCCTCTACCATTCATTTATCTGATAGTTACTGGGGCCCACTTTACGCCAGGTGAGCGCTTAGGGATCCAAGGGAGAACTAAGGTAGGTCATTCATTCATTGCTTCTTTCATTCATGACAATTTCAACCACTTCTCACTTCTTGAGCACCTATTAGATGACCAACAGTGTGCTAGATACTGTAAAATATTTCTAGAGAGCCTCTGCCCACCAGAAGCTACCATGTGGCTTATACACAAACTCTGACTTTCTACACTGTGTGGGGTCATCCAGCTGTGGGGAAAGGTCTTCATTCTGCGCTGTCCAGACAATGATCTAAACATAAGCCGCTTCCCTTTAGCCTCTGTCATGGTGTACAATTTAATGAAGAGCAGCCTGCAATAATTTACTCGGCACACATGTACAGGGACTGGTGGTGTGCCGCTCCAATTATGGGCACAAAGAAAAACAGATCACAGTTCCAGGCCTGGAGAAGGTTCTGGTCTTCGAAAGCACCAGTCAATGCCTGAAACATGACCCAAGCCCCAGGCCAGGGACACTCAGACTGTTTCAGGATAAGACAAACCTCGCTATAGGAACCAACTAGGAACAGCTCACAATGTTTTTGAGCCAGAAATGACCATAACTTTCTTCTCAAAGGGGTCTGAAGGCATCTGGGGAGCATCATACCTCCCCAGGGAGGGGTTTGGGATCAGCTGCTCATTTCAACTTCTAATTTATTTCTTTTGGCAGAAATTAACTGAAATCATTATTCAAGTCTATTTCCATCATTTGAAGGTGAAGGAAAGGGGGCCAGATGCTGTCTCCTCTCCTTTCAGCCTCTTCCCTTTGTTCTAAAACTTGAAGCCTTTACATAAGAGGCAACTCCTACCTGCTTCGTGGTTTTGGCTGGTGCAACATCCTTGGCCAGCTCCAGCCCCCTAGGGAAATGAGCTGTGCACTGGATCAGCTGGAACACTTGCTACTTTACAGATTTCCTTGCATTCTCTATTGCATGTCAATAAACAATAAGCCATCAACCAGTTTTAATAGCTGGAAAACACATCAAAGAATTCTGACTGGACTAGAAATGTTTTCTGTTTGGTAAAATGTTTAATTATCATCTTTTCTTTGCTGCCTGAACTCCAATGGAGCTTGAAATTGATATGGTTCTTGGGTGGGTGGTGACAGCGACTCGGGGGTGACTAATTAGCTGCCATACACCACGTGCTGGGGGCACCTGCCACACCTGCTCTGCCCCACTCACTCCAATCCAAGGGCCGAAAGGGACTCATAGGGCAGGAAGGAGGTCCTATGGTCAATTGGCCAACCCTTCTTCCCTGCAACTCAGAACTTTTCAATAACAGAACAATAATCCTTACTACACAGGAATGCTTAGGAATTATATCTCAACAGATAAGAGTCATTTTTAAGCCATTTATTCCTCAATGCCCCAAAATATTAGGATGGGTCAATTTAAGAACAGCCAGTGATAGAACACTAAGTACCCACTTGAAACCATTTCTGCAGAGAATATTTGAAGACATGAGGAAAGGCTCAGGATATAATATCAAGTGAAAACCCCAGACCCCAAAACTGTATATATGGTATATTTCAATTATTTTTCAACTTTTTACTTTTTTACTGTAAAAAAAAGACTGTGAAAACACAGTATCATGCTATAAAGTGGCAGGCAGGGTACTCAATTCACAGCACAAGTCTGTACACTCCTACCATGGAGAGACTAAGAATCCAGGAAACACGACATTGATACCATAACACTTCTGACGCTCTGAGTACAATAGGTGTTTAATAAGTGCTTCCTGAATTACTTAATAATAGTACTTTTATTTTTGCCTACCATTTATTGAGTACTGACTGTGTACCAAGTCCCAGACTAGGCCCGCTACACAATTTAACTTATGTCCTCAGCCTACAGACCAGGTCATAGTGTCTCCATTTTATTAATAAAGAAACTAATAAAGTGACTTTTCCAAGGTCACACAACTAGCCCAGATTTTAGCTCTAGGCCAGATTTTTTTATATACCATGCTTCTCCCCTTCCTCCAAATGAACTAGGTTTCCGCGTGAGATGGTGACTTCCTGTCTTTCTAGTAGAGGCTGGCTATAGCCATCTGGGGTGCCACAGAGTCAGAGGGTGAACCGCAAGATACCCCCATTCACGTGGCCCCTGTTCCGCTCCAGGCCATCAGCCAGCCCTTCACAGATCTGTGATTTCTCACTGCTGACAACATCTGTAACAAAGCGCTACTGTAGGGCTTACCATGCAAGGTGGGCATCGCCAACCCACTCTTACAGAGGTGGAAACAGGCTCCGAGAAATTACCTAATTGTCCAAGGATGTGCCAACAAATGGCAAAGTCGGGATTCCTCCAGACCTGTCTGCCTCCAGGTTCCTCGCTGCCCGCACACTAACACCCCCTCCGTGCCCCGCCGGCCTCCAGTTCCTGCAGTGAGGCTCTCAGACTGCAGGCCCTCCTCCCCCGAAGCTGCAGAGTGTGATGAAGTGTGTTCCTGGCTTCTGCGCCAGCCGTATAAATTGCTCTCCTGCCTGCCTTGTGGCTTCCAAAGACAGGCCAGAACTGTAATGATTACGGTAGATCTTCCCAGACACACTGAAGTTTTATTGTTTGGAACATTTGAAAGGAACAGAAAACTATGCTCGCAGGCAGAGTCCTGGAGAGGCACTAAACAGAAGTGAAATATCATCTTTACCAAGGTAGACATGTGCAGGGGCCTTCCCCAACCAAGCTTGATACCCCCAAAATGTGTGTGTGTCTGTGTGTACGTGCGTGCACACATATGTGGCCCATTCATGATGAATTTTGTCACTAGCCAGAACCCCCAAAGGGAAAGAGGTGATCCCATGTAAAGTCTGTGTTTGCTGAGTTAAGAGATACATTTTGTGCATTCAATTGGGAAATAACTGATTTAGAAATCTTTTGTTTAATAAGGTCAACTTTTCCTTCGGTTTCATGGAGAGGCTCCAAAATCGATTGATATTCAGCATCAGCTTAATACTGCGACTCGGTAATGGTTGTCCTAATTAGATACTCTTGCTAATTAATGCTATGCAAATTAAAACCAGCCCCTAATCCACTGGCATGTAAGACCACAATCCTGGCTGCTGTGCTCTGTAGAGAAGGGGCTCCTCTCCCCAACCTGAGGGTTCCACGGCAGCATCAAGCCTCTGTTTTCTTCCCCCTCCACTCTCAGGCTGCTCCTCTCTCATGGTCGCTCCTTCCCATGCACTCTCATCTTTCACCCTCAGGCTCATCCCTCAGCTCGGCCTCAGCTTCCCAGGCTGAGCTGCCTGATTTAAGTACAGTCATGGCACC